CTGTCCATTATGACACACATGAAGGTTGCCTTAGTCTTTCTGAAAACATGCAGAATCAGATCAAGAAACATTGTTCGTGGTGTGTGTGTGGTGGTGGGGAATAAACAAATATGCAATGGATCTTTGGCATAGAATCCTTAGTTGAGGCCCATGGGACGAAGCTCCTGAAACCCTAAAGAAAACATGCAATAGGAAAAGTTCCGATTTTTTTCCCTAGTTTATTCGAAGGTGGATGGAGAAGCTCGCCCGTCCCAGCCCCACAATGGATCTGGGAATATCACCATTATGTCAGTATTATCTGAAAAATCGCCCATACCGTGTCCGAATTCAACTTATAAAATTTTACACCACTTAACTTAATTCTTTGTAACATTCATCCAGCAATAGAAAACATTAACCTTAATGATGAATGCCAAGTTGTTATTACCATTTTTGTAAGTCTTTGGTATAACTCGGCCGGGGTTTCGAACCTACGACCTCTTGCATCCGAGAAGAACGTTCTAACCACTAGGGCACCAGAGCGTTAATAAGCCTTGTCGGACCTTGTGAAAACATATTTACTTACGATAAATTGCGATTGTAATTGTACAAATAAGCCAATTCGGAAACATTGTTCTAATTATTAAATAATGACTGAAAGGCAGACACAAGTTAAAAGAGTTAAAGGCATCGGCGGTATTTATCGTTGGATGTTTTCAAATTATATATGATCAACGCTTTTTGGATATATATTATATGTATAAAGTTGATCATTATTATGCCGGTACAGTAGGATGTCTGTGAACTGTTTTCAATAGATGGCATTTATTTGTTCTATTTCCAGTAATTTAAAGACTTACATGGCCATCCTCCATATCCACCTCCGTATCCACCGCCATAACCTCCACCATATCCACCTCCATATCCCCCTCCATAGCCTTGCCCATAGCCACCCCCATAACCACCTCCATATCCTGCACCGTAACCGCCTCCATATCCTGCACCGTAACCGCCACCGTAACCGCCTCCATATCCCTGTCCATATCCACCTCCATATCCTAGTCCGTATCCACCTCCAGAACCACCGCCATATCCACCACCAGCACCTCCTCCGTATCCGCCTCCGTAGCCGTGATATTTCTTAAAGAAGGCATTTGCGGAGACCACAAGGACGACGATAAGCAAAGCTACGATCTTCATTTTGGATGGCTGCATAAGTAGTATTGCTTTCTTAATAACAACGATGCATATAGATTAAATTTTTCTTGGTTCGAATACTTCATTGTGCATTTAACATTAAAAAGTTATGCTACATTTAAAAGTAGACTACAATACTATGAACCATGGTTTGCTCTTTTAATGACTTTTGTTGTTATATATATATATATATATATATATATATATATATATATATATATATATATATATATATATAGAAAAATGCAGAATAAGAACAGTATGCATGATTATCACTACTTTGTATTCTTTTGATCAAATTTGACTGAATAGAATGAAACAATCGCTTTATATTTCATATAAGCAAAGTATAATGCGCTGAAATACTACTTTTTAAATTAGTAAAAAGGGAGTCAATTAGAAAACATATCGCTCCAGTTTGCGATTATAATTATGTCCCAATTACTCAAAACAAAAATTATGTACAAGTTATCATAAACGAAAAGAACAGAACTACCATCGTCAGCTTAAAATAACCCATGACCCAGACTCCTCAGAGCAGAAATGGTCAATTCTAAATCTTTTGGCTGAGTGATAGAAAAGATTTGGGAAAGCTGCGTAACACCTATATATTCAAGATATTTCAATAGGACCGTACCGATGTAATATGGCGGTTGCCCAGAAATTGCAACGTCGTAAATTGTCGTTGTGAGAGCGTATTTGATGTTCTTCCTAAAGCTGATAGAGTGCCAATGGAGTATTAAACATAAAGGTGAGACTAATGTCAGATATACTTTATTATTACTTCTGAGAAGGACATTTTTCTAGTAACAGTTGTCATCAGTAATTTTAGGGTAACAATATCTGATAAAACTGGAAAATTTTATTCAAACATGTTCTCTTTAGTCGGTCTAAACATTAAAAAACAACACTCAATATGATATCCACTCCAACAAAATACTGAATGAAAAACAATTGGCTTCATTAATCTAGAAAACAAAATAGAAATTTCTGCAACTTTTATTTAACTAGCTCCATGCCCCAGTGGTTGTTAAGTCCAATAGTTTCAAAATTATCTCCTATGCATGGTATTCATTGTTACATGATTTCAAAGTTTAATTTTTAGGTGCACGTGTTTGGAATATATTTCGGAGCCGCGGTCGACAGTTGGTTAGAGTTACATACTTACAATCAATGTGATTATTTTTATTATATGCCAACCTGCTTGTTTTGTACCATAATGTATCACTTTTAATCCCACTGTCTCAACAGTAGATAATCCTTGCGGAGCTTGGATGTAAATTAAATACTAACCAATCAGTCAATTAAACAATCAGTCAATATAAACAGCTTCTATTCGGTTCCTAGTAAATATAAACGTTTAAATATATTTGAAGTTACTTACCTTTAGGAAACGACGGTCTTCTTACTCTACTCTCTGGACAATCGCACGCATTAATTTATACAAATCCCCATTTACTTTTTATGCAATAAATGCCGGACATAGCGTTTGGAAATAAATCATTTGATTTCAATACAAACAGAACATTAATAAATATGTCAAAAAACCACATGCACGTTTTGCGCAACCTAACCAAACCCCAGACTGTCTGCATGACAAAGACGATCCAAATTGCAAAAAAAATTTCCTCGTAAACCCAATGTCAATAAATCAGAATCCTAAACAAAGATATTAAAAGTCTAAAATGTCATTCAGAGATAATACATAATAAGATTGGTATTGGTACAACGAGAAAAACAGTTTATTTTGACTTCCGTTTTTATTTTTGTGGCTGGTACCTAAATTTCGATTCAACTGACACGAGGGCATTGGATGATCCGTAAACTGAAATGGTATGTTTATTTAATGAAGCGAAGGTCAAAGTGTTAATATTTGTTTTTGCCCTGCTACTCAAAAATATAATACACATGCTACGTGTACCAATTTTGGCTGAGTATTAACTTTAAAGAGGCATTTTGCGTCTAGCATGAGATAGTATATTGATTATTGAAAGAAGTTACAAAGTCAGCTATTACGTTGATTTCAAAGAAAGTGTAAGAAGTAGACTCGATTAAACGTTTGACAGAATTTTTTAAATTCTTTTATATCTGGCTCAAAGATTTTTTGAAAATGAATACGAGGCAACTTAAAATTAAAAAGATGGATGATCACATGCTCCAAAATGCTGTCATGTTTCTTTTCTTTTTTTTTTTTGCTTTGTTCGTTTATGCAGTTAGCCTCGTAAGAAACATGAAGACTGGTGGTTGGTAATAAAGGGAAAATTAAAACTCAGTTGTAATTAAGGATTTATTAGGAATTCTGTATCAATCCCAAATCATAGGTATTTATACTTTATACTAATGCATACACTCACTTTCCATCTTTTGGGAAAGTCATCAGTATTCATCACTCCACATGTTTGTGCAAATTTGAAAATAACACGTAAATGGTCTGAACAATAATGATGCAAAGTTTGTGAAATGATTTGGGGGTCATTATATAAATCCTTTTGGTTACAAGAGAATAATCTAATAAAGTTTTCAATAAAACACTTTAATTTACTGACAAATAACAGTGTGGCGATTTTACCAGCATTGTGCATTTCTATTAATATTCTTGATTTTTAACAAATGTGAATCTTTCAAACAGCTTGCAACAGACCTGCGTCATATGCAATTCTTTAATATTTTTCGTAAGGAAATAGTATTTAAATTGTCAAAACATGTATCAAACATTTAAAATGAGAGCACAAGCATTACCGTCTTCCATAAAATAAAATACTATTTTTAAGACTCTCAGTAGTAAATAGAGAATTAATTTTGCAAACTTTTCTTTAAAAATTATTTTAGAAATTGTAATTAAACGACTCGTTTAGCATAAAACTCAATATTATGTTATTGACAATAAAAACATTTTACTAGAATCTGTGGTAGAACATTAGCGACTGTTTCAAGCTGTATGCAGTTAACAGCAAGAGTTCATGAGACATATTGGCCCAAAGTTTCCGATTATTTCTCGTACTCAGTCTTAAGAGTTTTTCTTTCTTCATTTCACTAAATCATATTTATGTAGCATATTAAAATTTTCTATAATATATTTTGGAACCGCGTTGGTTCATCGGTTAGCTTATGAGATTTATGGTCAATGTATTGTGAATTCGAATTCTGTATAAATCAGTGTAGATTAGTCCCCGTGCAGTCACCTTATTCCAAATTCAGAATATAATATTTGTGATCTGATGTTCAATTAAATACAATCAATAAATCAAATAATGAATCAGTACTGATTCATGGTCGTCGATTAACTGTTATGCTGACATCAGTTCTCTGAGAAAAAAAAATGAAAGTGTAGATACGAGCGATAAACTGTGAAAAATTTTTTAAATGGAGGCAAAAAATGTGTTTTTTTTAAAACTCTCATTAAACAAAATTGAGACACAAATGTTAGAAGTATTAGAAAATTACCGAACTCAATCTGCAATGTTTTTGGCTATGTGGCTTGTTCAGCGTTCATATTGGTATGTCCAAAGTGGAAAAGTTGACATGTTGTCGTTTGCAAGTACAGAGAATGAAATGGATAAATAGAGTGAAAGGACAATTCAAAATTAATATCGTCCTAAACTTTGACACACGTATTTAAACTTTATTCGCTAACACTTTTTGAATTTCAAAAACATATAGGCATGTTACAGCTATCATAGCTTGCAAGTTGCACGTTTTGGGCACTGTAGCATGATGTTCCATCCAGTCACATTATCCTGACACCAGGCCGACCAGTCCTTACACTAACCTCTTAATGCCGAGCGCCTAACGAGGCAGCTTTTGGTACCATTTCTATAAGTCTCTGGTATGGCTCGGAGCTCGAATCCGCGATCTCCCGCATATAAGGTAGACGCTCAAACCGCTAAGCCACCGGTCCCAAGAGTTCTTGAGGTGCAAAAACTAAATTTGCTTTATTTTTCTTAATTATTGGAATATTTAATGTAGTAAAACTTTAATTGCAATACAATATGCTTTCTATCTGAAATATATTTGATATATTAAACATTGATACATTAAATTTTAATCGAATTTTAAACAAACATTTAAATTTTGGAAACTAAATTGTAGCGTAAAATTAAATTTTCATACAAATTTTAAAAATCAAAAGCTGGCATATTCTGGCATAACAACAAAAATGACCGATACATTATATTTAAACAAGTAGTGGCATAGTCTGAACAATTTATAATATTTTGTCCAGAGTTAGTTAACCGAAATTGCTTCCATTGATCTTGTCAGCAAACTGCAATATGCGTGTTCCAATGGATGCGCGCTGTTTTCAACTACGCCACGCAATACAATGCTTGAACATGTTGCGCCGCTATTTTACTTCACCAAATCTTTGTCAACATCACTTATATTTTCAAGATAAAATCTGATTTATTCGTCAATAAGAATATTTACTTTATCGAAATGATATATCGATTATACTTAAAATTAAGGTCTCCTAAGACCCGAAAGACAAAATAAAGCTAATTTCGCTGGCTTTTATCGGAAGATGAAATAATGAAGTTAAACCACAAATATGCATATTGCGATTTAAAAAAATGCAGTTACTTCTGACAAACAAACAATACTGAGGTTTTAGTTTTTTTTTATAAAAAAACAAACAATTATTTTGTGCAAAAAAAATTCCATCTTATTTCCGGACAATTAGCTTCGGGACACAATAAATTAGTTAATTAGTACCGTCAAATGTTGTATTTGTGGTGGAGATGATGACTGACGGAGGATGATCTTTAGTGTATTAAAATGAAACGTGAACATAACAGAACAAGACTTTGTGTCGAATGACGAATCCGAGTATTCTAAAAATGCTTTTAGAAGTATGAAATTATATATTACCGATTTTGCACATGTAAAATAAAAATCATTATATGTTTCTGCTTTTTTGTGTATCCATTTGTTTATGGATCTATTTAATGATGGATGTATTTTAACAGAAAAGCGGAAAACATGTCGGTTTCGGTCTCGTGCAGATGACATGCCTAATATAATGTAATGTATTAGGATATCCTAACGTAACAAAAAGAAGATGTGCCTTCGTACTTTTATTGGGAGAACACTGCTGTTATGTGCTGGTTTGCATGGCTAGAGAATCAGAATGGAGGACATGAAAAGGCACACGTTTGATAGAGTCACGTGAAAACAATAGTTAGGCCTACTTGATAAAGCAACAATGAAAAGTGATATGTTCCATAGTTATTATGTGAGGTGTTCAGTCAGCTGTTTGTATAAGCAACAGTGCACTCAAATTTCCCATTTAGATGGGACCGGTACCATGTTTTATAGCAAAAATGGTTTACATTTCAATGCCAAAAACCGCAAAAGGCGACGACGTAACAGGAAAACACGCTTCTAGATAGGCTCTACCTTACTGAATAACGGTGATGATCTCTCTCTTGAAGTGAGTACAGCCAAATATATGCCTGACAGATCAACTATAATTTATGTATAATGAGATCCTTATATAATATACTGGTTGTAAAATTCTTTTCCCAAATACTATAAAATATCTGGATATTTGTTCATGTGGGATACAAAACCACGTTAAGATCGGTTGTACAAAATTAATTAAAGCGATCTGTTTGAAAATTTCCAGTGTAGTGTTTAGAGTGTTAGTTAACAATTATCATTAACAATTAATAACGCATAAAGCAAAATGGTTAATTAGAAGAAGACCATGTACGCGCGCACACGAAAGTGCGGGCAGACGACAATTGTTCCCCGCTATTAACCTCTATACAAGATTTTTACCTACATCCGTGAAACTTAATAGCTAACCACTATATATTTGCCCCTTCCTTAACCCCCACGCCCCGAAAATAACTCTGCGGCGCCACTGAATAAGATATCAGCTTACGTCACAATGCCGCACTTTATCATTGGATATCTTAATCAATGACTTTTCTCAGATCCAATCCAAATCTTACAATCTGAACTTTTTTTTATTCATATATTCTTATTTTCAATTTTAAATAAGAAATAACAATTTGTACACGACATGTAAACATTGTGATATTTATATCAAAATTATGTTTTTATATAGTAATATTGTTGTTGTTGTTGTGAGGTTTAACGCCATTTTTCAAAACAGTATTAATGGTGGAGGAAGAAACCGGGAAATCACCGGAGAGAACCACCGACCCACGAGAAGCTACTGGCAAGCTTTCTGGCATATCCACATTCGCCGAATCCTAGACTCGAACACACACCGATAGTGGCGAGATGACAGTAATCCATAACGGACAGCTCTTTAGACCACTCGGCCACTCGAGGCCCAAGTATAGTGATATTATTGATATTACAAATGAAATATAAACATTTATTTACATTCTAAAATATCACAAATATTCCATAGGTTACATGGAATTTGATAACGTACTCATTTTTATTAGTTTATCAAAAAACTTTTTATACAAAATATTCGCTTGTTTTAAATTCAAATCAGTATCTGTTATTGTGTGTTTCAATAAAAAAAGTGTCATGTATATTTGTTTTGTGTGCTTGGCCTTTGTTAATGACTGAGGATGGAATAGAAATGGCCTATCTGACGTTTATAATACAAATTCTAAAGTTGTTTTCTGATATCTGAATTCAAGGTCTAGCCTTGGTTGCAAAATTTAGATTCTTTTGGAAGGAAACTTTTGACTCAAATTTTGGTCTTTTTTTGTGTCTTAGGTATAAGGTTACTGTTATCAAAATTGTTCATTCCTCCTTTACGTTCAGTCTCTGGAATTATTTACATGTGTTTTCAATTATAATTTGAGAGGAATTTTTTATTTACAAATTATGCACTAGAATTACAAACTACTCATTGATATTTTGAACAAAAACATTACCTTGGGATTATGGTGAATGCATTATTATTTTATCTTATTTCACTAGCATGCATTCAATTAAATGCAACAACCATCACTACATAAATTATGTTTAGTAGACAATACAATAACAGCATGCATATTCAATTATTTGTGTTTGATTTATTTTGTTGTTGTTGATATCTTTTAACTCAGAGAACAAAGTATATTTGCAAAACTAGAACTCGACATAGCATCTACCACGATCCTTTTTACATCTGGTTTAAGTTGCATTTCTCTGGACACATTCTCAGTGGATTTATGTTGACCTCAAACTGTTGATTACCACTTTATCAACACCTGTGTGGTCTTTCCATCCGTCAGTCAGTGCAAGAGTTATGCATCAATAAATACATTAAATGCCAAAGAAAGAAACACGTATACATACTGTTGAAACGGAGAGCCATATTTATCATGCGGAAATTTAGGGATTTAAGAAAGTCTCGTACTTACCACATCTCTCTCTCTCTCTCTCTCTCTCTCTCTCTCTCTCTCTCTCTCTCTCTCTCTCTCTCTCTCTCTCTCTCTCTCTCTCTCTCTCTCTCTCTCTCTCTCTCGTTTTTCTCCCAAATATAAAATCTCGTTTACACACCTATTTAGACACTACAGGGGAGGAAAATATTATTATTAATATTAATTTCAAGCATGAAAGAAAATATGGAAGTCTTATTCATTGCTCCTTCACATCCTTATACTTCTCTCTCTCTCTCTCTCTCTCTCTCTCTCTCTCTCTCTCTCTCTCTCTCTCTCTCTCTCTCTCTCTCTCTCTCTCTCTCTCTCTCTCTCTCTCGTTTTTCTCCCAAATATAAAATCTCGTTTACACACCTATTTAGACACTACAGGGGAGGAAAATATTATTATTAATATTAATTTCAAACATGAAAGAAGATATGGAAGTCTTATTCATTGCTCCTTCACATCCTTATACTTTTTACTCAAATCCTGGGAAACAACATCATTCGATTCCTTTTCGATCACCGCATATATATCAAACAGGTGAGGTGGCCATGTCCAATGTTCGTTGTTAGTATTTTACATATGAGCTTCCCTTATATAGACGTCCTGAGCGTCCCTTATATAGACGTCCTGAGCGTCCCTTATATAGACGTCATAAGCGTTCTTTATATAGACGTCATGAGCGTCCCTTATATAGACGTCCTGAGCGTCATTTATACAGAAGTCCTGAGCGTCCCTTAGGGCCTATATAGTCGTCCTGAGCGTCCCTTATATAGACGTCCTTTGCTGCCTTTGTCGTCTCTTGTGCATAATTTACCTGGAAACAGTGTAGATATTGTGCAGACCATATGCCCCACAATGGAGACATTCAATATACTAATAGGAAAAAAATGTTATTTGTCCCCTAGTGATGCATGTGTGGAAGTCTCCGGCACTGATACCCTTTCCTTTGTTTGCATGTTTATCTTTATTAGTCTAACACTTGTACTTATATTACTACTGTTTGAATACTAGTTATAAGAATAAGAATTGGCTGTTGATATTGCTTTCGTTTTCGTGTTGTTTGTCTAGTAGTGGTAGTAGTAAAACTGTGGTGATGAGATGGTTGTAACTTCGACATTAAACTTTGGTTTAAAATCTTGTTGAAAAGAAGAATTTACATGTATTTCCAATACGTGTAATGCAGATTCAACTAAATGCCAGACTTATTTTGAAAGAAGCAATGCATATTTGTTACAATGGATGCTTACATTTTCAATTCATTTTAAATTGATTGAAATAATGCTAACAATTAGGTACAAAATGAATCGAGATTCACTAAATATGTTCTCAAGAGCTAAAACACAAGAGGACTAGTTTATTTTGCATATCAATCAGAAGTCATGTATCAACGAATTCTTGAGCATTTCTAGTTACAGTTTACACAGACTAATATTTTGCTGTCTCCGTTTTGAATTTGTGCACATTATTTTGAAATAATATATTTTGAAATAATGTGCGCAGTTTGAAAATGCATCGGCTTTCCAAATTCAAAACATTTGCACACATTTTGATGA